CAGTTTCTGTATCTGCAAATGGGGTAATGATACCTACCTTACAGGGTCATTATGAGAATTAGAGATAATATATGTAAATGGCCTAACTCAATAGAGGTGACAATTATTCTATTTTACCTACCTAGCAACTAGGAGTCCCCCAATCATTTTTTAGCCTTTCTCTTTTATATTTTTATTCATCCAGCTTATCTCTTCTTTCTTTTCTGTCTACTTCAAAGAGAATTCAAAGTGAGAATTATTTTAGAGATAATCTAACTTACCACTTTTGTTGAACAAATAAGGAAATAGAAGCTCAGAGAGATAAAATGACTTGTCCAAGATCACAGTTAAAAACAGAGATCATACCCTGTCGCCTTGAATTTGTCACTGTTTTTCTTCTTGCTGTGAAATGAAATTTGATAAGGAGTTCTATCCTGGGTCTGAAGAAGCATGTATAGAAAAAAAAGAAAATTTAGTGCAAGAGACAAGAAAAGGAAAAAAGATTAAAGAAAAAGGAGCAGGAAGAGCTTTCCAATTTTTTTTTATAACTTTGTTTTTTAATGTGGTGCTGAGGATCGAACCCACGCCTCACACATGCAAGACAAGTGCTCTACCACTGAGCCACAACCCCAGCCCTACAATTTGTTGTAAAGCAGGGTGCAGCAATCTTTATGAAGGGCCAGGCAGTGAGTATTTTAAGTTTTGCAAGTCATTCTTAATTCTGACATTGTTTACATATTGTCTAAGGCTGATTTTGTACTATAAACTGGTGTGGCTATGACCTAGAAAGCTTTTTTGGACAATGAAATTTTGACTTAATGTATCTTTTTTCTAACTATTTGAAAATGTTAAAACTACTCTTAGGTCATGAGCCATACAAAACAAGATGGAGGGCTGTATTTGGCTTATGAGCTTTAGTTTGGTGACCCTATTCTGTAAATAGGGTAATGATACCTACCTTACAGGGTCATTATGAGAATTAGAGATACTATATGCAAATTCAAATGCATTGGGAGTATAAGCCTGATGATAAATCGAACAGATACTTATCCTTGGTGTCATGGAAATAATAGGATTTGATTTGAATTTTGATTAAGTGGGACACACCTAACCCACTAAAGTGGGTGGCATCCATTCTAGTTCAGCAGATTGCTATTCCTAAGAAATTGAGGCCAAATGCTGCCAAGCCTTCTGATTTTTCAAAAAGAAGTCAAAACTCTGATGTTTTATGTGAAATATACCAATTTTAAGTGTTGGCAAATAATTTGAAATGATTTTTAGATACTATCAACTATTTTAGATACTGTCAACTATTTGCAAACTGAATTTGATACATGGACTACCAGCCTAAAATATTTTTTTTCACAATAGGAAAATTTATTTCTAGATATTTCTAAGTGCATCCCAATGTTTTTTTTTAATTTTTATTGTTGGTTGTCCAAAACATTACATAGTTCTTGACATATCATATTTCACACTTTGATTCAAGTGGGTTATGAACTCCCATTTTTACCCCGTATACAGATTGCAGAATCTCATCGGTTACACATCCACTGATTTCAAAGTAAAATTCTAGGTAGTTCATTACTTCTGTCAAACTTTCAATAATGGGTGGAACTACACACAGAAGAGCAATGTGGGAATAGAGGACTTCAGCACCACCATAGACTTATTAGGCATGGCAGACATATACAGAATGCTCACCCCAAAACTGCAGAATATGGATTCTTATCAAGTGCACATGAAACATTCTCCTGGACTTCAGGATACAATAAGAACATTTTTTTTTTCCTCTCAGTACTAGGAATTAAACCCAGAGCCTAGTGCATGGTAGCCAGATGCTATACCACTGAATTACATCCCCAACCCTAAAATCAGTCTTTTTAGTTTTTGGTGGACACAACATCATTATTTTTATTTTTATGTGGTGCTGAGGATCGAACCCAGTGCCCCGCGCATGCCAGGCAAGCGCGTAACCACTTGAGCCACATCCGGGCAAGCGAGTAACCACTTGAGCCACATCCCCAATCAGTCTTTTAACAAATGTTAAAAGATTCAAATCAGGGCTGGTGTTGTGGCTCAGTGGTAGATCACTCTCATAGCATGTKCGAGGCCCTGGTTCGATCTTCAGCACCACATAAAAAATAAAAACTAAGCAAAATAAAGGTATTGTGTCCAACTACAACTAAAAAAATAAATATTTWAAAAAATTCAAATCAGAAGTTTTCTGATCACAGTGGGATAAAACCAGAAGTCAATATTGGAAAACTGGAGATTCTACAAATATCTGAAAATTAAACAACCAGCCAACCAATGGGTCAAAGAAGAAATCACAAAGAAAATTAGAAAATATCTTGATATAAATGAAAGTGAAAACAAACATATCTGAATGTATGGGTTGTAGTAAAAGTAGTGATAAGAGAGAATTTAAGAATGTAAGTGTTTACATTAAAAAGAAAAATCTCAAGAACCCAACTTTATACAATAGGAAACTGGAAAACAACAACGAAATTAAACTCAAAGCTAACAGAAAGAAAGAATAAAGATCAAAAAAGAGGTATATTTTATAGAAAAAATATCAGTGAAACTTGAGGTGGTTTTTCAAAAATATCAGCAATAATGACAAACAAGTAGATTAAGAAAAAAACAGCAGACACCAACTGAAATCAGAAATGAAAATGCATATCTTATAACCAATACTAAATACATAAAAAGGATTATAAGATTGTATCAAACAACTGCATGCCAAAAACAATTTTAAACTTAGATAAATGTACTAAGTTCTATAAATATACAACCCACCAAGACTGGATCTTGAAGACATAGATACGAGCAGACCTATAACCAGTAAGGGGATTCAATCAGCAACCAAAACTTTCCAAAAACAACAAAGCCCTGGACCCAGATGGCTTCATGGAAAACTGTACCAAAAATTTACAGAAATAAAACCAGTCCTCAAACGTTTCTAAAAACTTGAGGCAAGAATTTCCTGAACTCCTCATATAAGGCAAGCATTAACCTAACACCAACATCAGACAAATCTACAGACCAATACCTCTGATGAATATTGATGCAAAAAGCCTTAATGAAATACTGCCAAACCCAATTCAGCAATACAGTAAAAATATTATATACTATGATCACATAGGATTTATTCCTATAAATCAAGGGCAGCTTAACATATGAAAATCATTTAGTATAATATACCAAATTAACAGAAAGGAGGACAAAAACTGCACCATCATCTCAATTCATACACACAAAGGCATTTGACAAAATGAACAATATTATTGGCATTTTGAAGGGGACTGCCACCAAAATGGTAATATTGCCACTTTAACAATATTAATTCTGCTGATTCATGAATATTGAAGGTTTTTCTGTCCTCTTCAATTACCATCTTCCATGTTTTATAATTTTCATTGTAGAGGTCTTTAACATCCTTGGTTAAGTTTATTCCTAGTTATTTTTTCTGAAGGTGTTGTGAATGGAATTTTCCTAATTTCTTCCTCAGTTCATTATTGGTGTTTGGAAAAGTTATTGATTTTGTGTATTAATTGTGTATCTTGCTACATTGCTGACTTTGTTTATCAGATCTAAAAGTCTTCTAGTAGAGTCTTGAGAGTCTTAAGTACAGGATCATGTCATCTGCAACTTCTTCCTTTGTTATTTGTATCCCTTTTATTTCTCTTATCTAATTGTTATGGCTAAAATTGAATCAGAGTGGTATGAGTGAACATCCTTTTATCATTCCTGATCTTAGAGGAAACAATTTCAGTTTTTCCTCATTCAGCATAATGTTGGCTATGTTCTTTTGTATACAGCCTTTATTATGTTGAGTAAAATCCTCCCATAAAAACCCTCCCATACCTAGTTTCTTCAGGGCTTTTATCATGGAGGTATGTTGAGTTTTGTCAGAGGTTTTTTTTCTGTWTATATTGAAATGATCATATAATTTTTATCCTTGATTCTACTTCTGGGTGTATTATGTTTATTTATTTCCTTATGTTGAGCCATTCTTGCATCTGTGGAATGAAACCAATTTGATCATGGTGTATAATCTTTTTAATATGTTGTTGAATTTGGTTTAATAAGTATTTTATTGAAGACTTTTGTATCAGTGTTCATCAAGGATATTAGTCTATAACTTTCTTTTTTTATTGTGCCCTTGTCTGGTATTGATATCAGTGTGATACTGGTTTTGTAGAATGCATTTGGAAGCATTCTTTTTTGCTTCATGGAATAGTTTGAGAAGCATGACTGATAGTTATTAAGGTCTGGTAAAATTCAGCAGTGAATCCTTCCAGTCTTTGGCTTTTCTTTTTTGAGAGACTTTTCATTACTGCTTCAATCTCATGCATGTCAAACAATTTTTTTAAATATCCCCCCCTCAAAATTGGAAAATTTTCTCTATACATTTTTATACATCTTTATGATGTTGGAATATACATCTCCTTATGTACTTTAAAATGCTAATTAAGGGGTAGATGTAAGTATAACTCAGTGGTAGAGTGCTTGCCTAACATGTGTAAGGCCTTGTGTTCCATCCCCAGTACTGCAAAAGATAAATAATGCTAACTGGAAGTAAATATTGGAAAAGATATTTTCCTTTCCTTTTCAAATTGTATGCTCTGTAAAAGAGTACAAYAATTCATTTGTTATAATATTTCAAGAAAGTAAAATAGTTAGCAATTGGCTAATAAAACAAAAAACAATATTTGATTAATAAAGTTCATGCAAAAACACTATGAAATAAGCGGTACAAATCAATTTTTAAAAATCTGAACTTGAAAGCATACATCATTCTGTTATCAAACTCTTCTGGCTAAAGACAATGTAAAAATAACAGAAGTCACAAAGGGACTTGGACTACAAGATTTTCATTGTGTGCCATATAGTAAAAAAAACTAAAGAAAAAAGTTTCAGCGGGATATGTTAAAGTTTTTCTGTAATCTTACTTATGATGGTATTAAGCAGAAATTATATTGTATTTTACTTATACATTAATTATTTTTTAACAGAACTCCTGGGGCCCTTGGACAGAGGGGATATGCTAAATGAAGCTTTTGTTGGCCTATCTTTAGCATCTCAAGGGGAAGACTCATTTCAAGATAATCTTCCTTCCTTTGGTTCAATCCACAGGCATAGTATTCAACAAAAAATACTGAAAGGCTCTTCTAACAGGTAAGATATGTTAAGCTGAAAAGTTACTCCTTAAAGGGAAGTATTTAGTGTTCAGTACTTTGACTATTTCCTGCTTAGTGCAAACTAAGAGTTAAGCAAGAATATTTCAAAATGTCAAGGAAAAATATACATTTTTCTCATAGCTAATATTTCACGTTAATTCATGCAAGAGCAGGTATAATGAAGGCAGAAGTGAATGTAAAAAAATATAATATTATTGTAAGCCAGAATGAATTTATTATAATATCATATTTTATTTGTATTCTGTTGGTAAATTATGGGATTAAATTACCTTAAATGAATATTAACTTTAGAATATATATTTGAAGTATAATTTATATCACCTATAATTATCTATAATGTATTATCTATGGGGCTGGGATTACAATTCAGCGGTAAAGTGCTTGCCTCACACATGCGAGGCACTGGGTTTGATCCTCAGCACCACATTAAAATAAATAAAGATATTGTGTTCATCTACAACTAAAAAATAAATTWAAAAAAATATGATCTATAATTATGATCTAATTTACACTTCTTTAATACAATCTATTTTCTGAAATCTAATAGATGAAAATTTAAATATCTAGCTTGTCACAAGGGTTACTGAGAAGAAATAAACATGAGATTAAAAACACTTGTTATTTACAGTAATATCTTAAGTGTTATTTATGGTAATAGTAGTGGTATTATTTACAATGATAATAAGAACTTCAAGCAAAGGTAGGCAATTTTTTTTGTGTGAAATGGCAAATAGTAAATGCTTTAGGCTCTTCAGGCATGTAGATTTTTTAGAAACTACTCAACCCTGCTATTGTAGTATAAAAGCAGCCATAGACAACATATAAATGAATGAAAATTATTGGGTTACAATAAAACTTAATTTACAAAAAACAGGCAGCAGGCCAGATTTATATTGATATGTAATAATTGTAAAAAGGCAATATTTTAAATTCATGTATATTGATTATATACACACMTTTACAATACCCTTGAAAAATGTCCCAAACTACATATATTAACAGTAAATAAAAAGGGGCAGAATTTCCAAGTATGACAGATTTTATTTAGATGATAGTATTTTATTTAGGTGATTTTATTAGATGATAGTAAATCCTTTCCTAACAAACAATTATAAAACTGATCAAAACCCCAATTTCAGGGCTCTGGAAATCACATGAAAACGAACAATAAATTAACTATCATTTTTTTCATAAACAAATTGCTGAACTTCTGATAATGAAGTAGGAGTTTGTGATGTTCTTGCTAGAGACTACTCCCATCCTCCTCCCTATGCTTAAACTAGTTCTACCTAGGTAGGACTGCCTATGAAAACCAACAGTTTAACTTGCTTTAGAGCTCAGTGTGGAAAAACCTTTGCCCAGCAGCACTATTAATAAAAATAACAAACTCATTGTCAGTAAAAGTGACAGACTTGAAAGAAATGAACAAGGGAAAGCCACTGTTCTGCTCTCCTAGTTAGATCAAGTGACCAAATGACAAACTAGCCAAAAATTTAATCAGGTTGATCCTGAAAATAATAGAACCAAAGAGAGACTAATTAAATTCTCCACAAATTCCTGATGAGGTTGTATTACCTATCATTTTGGTCTTATTCCTAACAGAACTCAAGAAGAGTTTTTTCCTTTATGCTTCTTTCCCCCTTCAAACCCAATTTCCAAAAGATGCCCCTCCTCTTTTGCCTTATATTATCCATCCCCCACACCCAGAATAAATCAATAAGAACTTGATTACAGATAAAATAGGATTCAAGTCCCAAAACATAAAAAGAAGCAAAGAAAAACCTTCTTTAAATACAGATTTTACAATGCAGATTTGGTGGATATTTATGCACCAAATATCATAGAAACCATCTCTGTGAAGGAAAATCTACAAAAGATGAAAGGATTTATAGATAGACATTAGTAACAGAAGACTCTAATTTCAAAATAGATCAAGTAGGCAGAAAATAAGGAGAAAATTTAGTTGAACAATCGATAATGTAGGTATTATGTATTTTATCAAATTCTATACCCAGAATACAATGTCTTCCTAAATGGAAAATGACAAAATATATCTTAGTTTCATTAAGTGTGATCAATGGGCCAGGCACAGTAACACATATCTGTAAACTCAGTAATTTARGAAACTGAGGCAGAGGATTGCAAGTTTGAGGTCAGCCTCAGCCACTTAGCAAGACCCTGAATGAAGTCCTGTCTYAAAATTAAAATGAAAAGAATGGGATGTAGCTCAGTGTCAGAGCGCCCCTGGGTTCAATATCCAGTACCACCCCCACCYCCCCMAAAAAAGATTGATGGTTTCTAACCACAGTGTACTTTCAGTATTTTGGGGGATAAGGGGGCACTTGGGATGGAACCCTGGGGTGCTTTATCACTGAGCTACATTTCTAGCACTTTTTATTTCTTATTTTGAGACAAGATCTTGCTGAAATTCTTCTGTCTTAGCCTCCTGAATCACTGGGATTATAGGTGTGCAACACTGTGCCTGGCTGACACTAGAAATTTTAAATAAGAATCAAAACGCCGGGCTGGGGATGTGGCTCAAGCGGTAGCGCGCTCGCCTGGCATGCGTGCGGCCCGGGTTSGATCCTCAGCACCACATACAAACAAAGATGTTGTGTCCACCGAGAACTAAATAAATAAATAAATATTAAAAATTCTCTTTTTTTTAAAAAAAAAGAATCAAAATGCCCTTTCTTCTAGAATTTTTAAAAATTTCTATGAAACAACTCAGATAAAAAAGAAAACAACATGAAATTTCTAAAAGTAATATTTAAAATAATGATTGATCAGAGGAAAACTGACAGTGCTAAACATTTTTTAAGAAGCCAATTGGAATTTTATTTTTTTAAATTAGAGCTTTATAGTTATACATAGTAGTTGGGTTCATCTATACAAACTCATATATACATAAAATATTTAGCACTATTGATTTCTATCAGAAAATAAATGAAATAATAAATGAACTACAACTCAAAACCAACCTCTTAAAAATCATGAAACCAGGGGCTAGGGTTCAGTGGTAGAGTATTCACCTAGCATGTGGGAGGCCCTGGGTTTGATCCTCAGTACCACACAAAAATAAATTTATTTAAAAAATAGATGAAAGAAATTAAAGGCATAAATATAGGGTTTTTTTAATACCTGTCTAATTGCTCTGGTTAGTGTTTCAAGAACTATGTTGATAAAAGTGGTGAGAGAAGGCATCCCTGTCTTGTTCCAGATTTTAGAGGGAATGCCTTCAGTTTTTCTCCGTTTAGAATGATGCTGGCCTGAGGCTTAGTGTAGATAGCTTTTAAAATCATGTTATCCCTAGTTTTTCTAGTGTTTTAAACATAAAGGGATGCTGAATTTTGCTGAATGCTTTTTCTGCATCTTTCGAGACCATCATCATGGTTCTTATCTTAAGTCTATTGATGTGGTRAATTACATTTATTGATTTCCATATGTTGAACCAGCCTTGCATCCCAGGGATGAAACCCACTTGATCATGGTGTATGATCTTTTTGATGTGTTTTTGTATCCAATTTGCCAGAATTTTATTAAGGATTTTTGCATCTATATTCATTAGAGATATTGGTCTGAAATTTTCTTTCTTTGAAGTGTCTTTGTCTGGTTTTGGAATCAGGGTGACATTGGCCTCGTAGAATGAATTTGGAAGTDCTCCCTCTTTTTCTATTTCCTGAAATAGTTTGAAGAGTATTGGAGAGAACTTAAACTACCACTATTTGCTAATGATATGATCCTATACCTAGCAGATCCCAAAAGTTCTACCAAGAAACTTCTAGAACTAGTAAATGAATTCAGCAAAGTGGAAGGATATAAAATCAACACCCATAAATCAAAGGCATTCCTGTATATCAGTGACAAATCCTCTGAAATGGAAATGAGGAAAACTACCCCATTCACAATATCCTCAAAAAAATAAAATAAAATACTTTGGAATCAACAAAAAAGGTGAAAGATCTATACAATGAAAATTATAAAATCCTAAAGACAGAAATAGAAGAAGACCTTAGAAGATGGAAAGATATACCTTGCTCATAGATAGGCAGAATTATTATTATTAAAATGGCCATATTACCTAAAGCACTTTATAGAATCAACGCAATTCCAATCAAAATCCCAACGGCATTCCTCACAGAAACAGAAAAAGCAATTATGAAATATAGCTGGAAAAATAAGAGACGCAGAATAGCTAGAGCAATTCTAAGCAGGAAGAGTGAAACAGGTGGTATAGCTATATCAGATCTTAAACTATACTACAGAGCAATAGTAACAAAAACAGCATGGTACTGGCACCAAAACAGGCTGGTAGACCAATAATACAGAATAGAGGACACAGAGACCAACCCACAAAATTACAACTACCTTATATTAGACAAAGGTGCTAAATGTATGCAGTGGAGAAAGATAGCATCTTCAACAAATGGTGCTGGGAGAACTGGAAATCTATATGCAACAAAATGAAACTGAATCCCTCTCTCTCACCATACACAAAAGTTAACTCAAAATGGATCAAGGATCTAGGAATCAAACCAGAGACTCTGCATCTAATAGAAGGAAAAGTAGGCCCTAATCTCCATCACATGGGGTTAAGCCCCAAGTTCCTTAATAAGACACCTATAGCACAAGAATTAAAACCAAGAATCAACAAATGGGATGAATTCAAACTAAAAAAGTTTTTTCTCAGTAAGAGAAATAATATGAGAAGTGAATAGGAAGCCTACAACCTGGGAACAAATTTTTACTCCTCACACATCAGATAGAGCTCTAATCTCTAGGATATACAAAGAACTCAAAAAGTTAAACAAACAAAAATAATAATCCAATCAACAAATGGGCCAAGGACCTAATCAGACAGTTCTCAGAAGAGGATATACAATTAATCAACAAATACACAAAAAAATGCTCACCATCGCTAGCAATCAGAGAAATGCAAATTAAAAC